TGGGCTGGGTGTGATGGCTCATGCCTGTAATCCCAGCAGTTTGGGAGGCCAAGGCAGGTGGATCACTCGAGCTCAGGAGTTCAAGACCAGCTTGGGCAACATGATGAAACCCTATCTCAACTAAAAATACAAAAATCAGCCAGGTGTGGTGACACATATCTGTAATCCCAGCTACTCCGTTGGCTGAAATGGGAGGAGTGCTTGAGCTGAGAAGGTCGAGGCTACAGTGAGCCGTGATTGCACCACTGCATTCTAGCCTGGGTGACAGAGTGACACGTTGTCTTAAAAAAAAGAAAGAAAGAAAACAAGAATATATTGAATCGATTAGCCTTGTTCTATGAGATTCCTGGGTCAGAGACAAGGACTGTAATGCACACAGCAAAAGCAGTAGCCAGAGCTTCATGGTTGTGACAGTTCTTCATATCTTATTCTATAGGAATTACACAGCCCCAGCATTAAAACAAGTGAACAAAATGAACTAAAACTCTTGTCCATTTGCTTTCAGAATATAGATTAACTTAGTCATTATGACACTTCACAATGAAAAAATTAAGCCATATTTTGCCTTTGCTAATACTTGATCATTTTTCATAAATTTGTATTTTGCTTAAATATTGAACTACCTCAGTATTTTTCTTTTTTCTTTTCTTTCTCCCCTTTTTTTTTTTTTTTTTTGAGACGGAATCTTCCTCTGTCACCTAGGCTGGAGTACAGTGGTACAAGCTCATCTCACTGCAACTTCCACCTCCTGGGTTCAAGCGATTCTCCTGCCTCAGCCTCCCGAGTAGCTGGGATTACATGTGGGTGCTACCAAACCCGGCTAATTTTTGTATTTTTAGTAGAGATGGGGTTTCACCATGTTAGCTAGGCTGGTCTCAACCTCCTGACCTCAGCTGTTTTCTTTCTTAAGAAAGAATTCAGTGTGAGTCCATAAAGTTAAAAGCAAGTTTATTAAGAAAGTAAAGGAATTAAGAAACGGCTACTCCACAGACACAGTAGCCCTGAGGGCTAATGGTTGACCATTTTTGTGGTTATTTCTTTATTATATGCTAAACAAGGTGTGGATTATTCATGCCTCCCCCTTTTAGATCATATAGGGTAACTTCCTGTCGATGCCATGGCATTTGTAAACTGTCATGGTGCTGGTGGAAGTGTAGCAGTGAGGACAACCAGAGGTCACTCTCGTCACCATCTTGATTTTGGTGGCTTCTTTATTGCAACCTGTTTTATCATCACGGTCTTTATGACCTGTATTTTGTGTCAACTTTCTATCTCACCCTGTGACTCAGAATGCCTTAACTGTCTGGGAATTCAGCTCCATAGGTTTTAGCCTTATTTTACCCAGCTCCTAGTCAAGATAGAGTTGCTCCGGTTTACACGCCTCTGACAGTGGATTATGGGCGTAAGCCACTGCACCCAGCCTACCTCAAGATTTTTGTTGGTTTCTTACACATATGCTGTTACTTCCATTCATATTCCATGATCCTCCCCCCTTTTCCTAATGTCCATGAATAATAGCCTATGTCTCTTGTATTATTTTTACATTATTCAAAAAATTTTCTGACAAATTTGTTTTTGGAATACATCCTGTGTTTTCACAAGCATTACTACAGAGGACAGACCTTCCTGAGACTGGTGATGTATAATGTCAAAAGTTTAAAATCTGGATCTCACATATCAAAACTTTCTCAGAAGTTATTCTTATGTTTCATTATGAACTTGATAAACAGACTTTCAAAGTGAGGGGGTTTTCACCTCTTGAAAGCTTTTTAACAAGTAGGATCTGCTCAGCATGCTACACAGACAGTAAAGTTGCAGTGACCATAAAAAAGGAAGAGGTCCACACAACTGGGAGGAACTGCACAGGTAGTTTCTTTGTACAGTCTATACTGTTTCCTCCCACTCTGAAGTGAGGAACAAGCAATTGAGAAGTGTAGAATGCAAAAACTGAAAAGCTTTCTGTTACAGGTTGAATTGTGTTCCCAAATTCACCTGTTGATGTCTTAACACCCCAGAGGTAATCAAATTGAAATGAAGTTAATTAGGATGAGCCCTAATGCAATCTGACTGTTGTCCTTATAAAAAGGGGAAATTCGGACATAGAGACGTGCATAGAAGGAAGATGTGCAGAGACATAGGGAGATTAGCCTAATCAAAAAGTGCAAATTGAAGAAATGGAAAACTAGCTCTCATGATCAAGTTAATTTAGCATAAAAGTATAATTGATAGTGAAGGTATAAAGTGTAAAACCATCATTTAAACCTTTCCTCTGTCATTCATAGCTTTCTTGTTTCAGAATTGCAATGGAAGAAGATTTTCCTATTGTGTGGAATTTCATTGAAATGGTATAGAATTTGGGTCTGGGGAAATGTTTGTGTGGCCTCCTTAAACCAGTTGTTGTGATTTTATTGTTAGTGAGTTAATTAGAACAAAGAGATTTTCTTCGAAAATAAAAATATAACAACTAGCAGACCAAAATGTCTTTTGCAATAATAAACTTCTCAGAATCAATACTCACTGCTTTGAAACCCAAAATGAAAGTACTCCTTTATAGCAAGAAGAGGAACTATAAGCTTTATGTTTATCATGAATGAATGAACAAACTGTGGAAGTTAGATTTACTATTTTGACTAGCTGGTGTTTCAAAGTCAAACGACATTGCTTTTGCTTACCACTGCTAACCAGAATTCCTTTTTAAAAATTTTTTTTGAGACGAAGTCTCGCTCTGTCGCCCAGGCTGGAATGCAGTGGCAAGATTTTGGCTCACTGCAAGCTCCACCTCCCGGATTCGCGCCATTCTCCTGCCTCAGCCTACCGAGTAGCTGGGAGTACAGGCGCCTGCCACCACGCCCGGCTAATTTTTTCTATTTTTTAGTAGAGACAGGGTTTCACCGTGTTAGCCAGGGTGGTCTCCATCTCCTGACCTCGTGATCCGCCTGCCTCAGCCTCCCAAAGTGCTAGGATTACAGGCGTGAGCCACCGCGACCGGCCTGCTAACCAGAATTGTTATTCTGGAAACCCAGTCATTTGATAGTTTTCCAGTCAATGGATTGTCTGCTTTAAGAATATGATTTTCTTCTTCTTCTCCTTCTCTTTCTTCTTCTTCTTCTCTTCTTCTTTTTTTCAGAGACAGAGGCTTGCTCTGTCACCCAGGCTGGAGTGCAGTGGCGCGATCTCCGGCTCCTGCAACCTCCACTCCCGGGTTCAAAGAGATTCTCCTGCCTCGGTCTCCAGTAGCTGACGATTACAGGTAACTGCCACCATGCCAGCTAACTTTTTTGTATTTTTGTAGAGGCGGTGTTTTTCTTCCATGTTGGCCATGATCCTGTCTCTCAACTCCTCGACTCAGGTGCTCGCACCGCCGCCTCAGTCTCCCAAAGTGCTGGATTACAGGCGTGAGCCACCAAGCCTCGGTTGATAATTTATTATAAAATAAAAACAAAAAAAGCAGGCGGGGCGCAGTGGTGGTGGGCAGCCTGTAATCCCAGCTCACTTCGGGAGGTCTGAGGCAGAGAATCGCTTGAACCGAGGCAGGCGGAGGTCGCAGTACAGGCCGAGATTGCGCCACTGGCGCGCCACTCTGGGCAATAGATGGCGAACTCCGTCTCTCATAAAAAAAATCAAATAGAATAAAATAAACTAAAAAAGAAAAGAAAGCAGGCCGGCGGGCGGTGGGAGGCGCCGTAATGCCCAGCACTTTGGGAGGGAGGCGGTGGATCACCCCAGGTCAGGAGTTCGAGACGCAAAGCCTGCAACGTGGTGAAACCCTGTCTCTACTAAAAAATACAAAATTAGCCGGGGTGGTGGGAGCACCTGTAATCCCAGCTACTCGGGAGGCTGAGGCAGGAGAATCGCTTGAACCCAGGGGGCAGAAGTTGCAGTGAGCCGAGATCGTGCCACTGCACTCCAGCCTGGGTGATCAGAGCGAGACTCCATTTCAATTAAAAATAATAATTAAAAAAAACAAATAAAGGCTAGACGTAATTATTACCAAGATGTTTCTGCTCCTTCAAACTGCAACAGCAGTTGTAATTTCAGTGCCTAGAACAGTAGTAATTGGCACGTATAAGGCGCTCAATGAATAGCTGCAGGATTAACTGATCATTGTCTCCCTGAACAATTCCTCCTGCACCATACCATAGTCAAAACACAAAAAACCAAAATATAAAAGCCCCTAATACAACTACGAGTCCGTGGAGCCAGGGCTTTACACAAATGTATGTCGTGTACTACATATTAATACATATGCACATACAATATTTTGTTCTTCCGGTGTTAACGACTAATGGAGGCAAATCTTTCTCCCTTTCGTAAAGGGCTAAAACTTTGCATTTTAAGGAAGTTCCGAGAGCTGGGTCGGAGGGGAGGGTCAAAGGGCACAGACTTCCCAGGTAGCAGAAAATCCCCACGGTCTTAGTACGCGCTACCGTCGACCGCGCAGGCGCAGGAAGGGGCGGGACCGAAGGGAGAGGCGATTCGCGGGATTCCAGAGGCCCCGCCTCTCGCTGCGTCAGTTGGTCACGTGGTTGTTCGGAGCTGGCAAGCGGAGTTGGTAGGGCTTTACTGCAGAGCGCGCCGGACACTCCAGCGACAGTGGGGATCAGCGTAGGTGAGCTGTAGTCTTTTTCGAGGTGCTGCAGCCACAGCGTTCGCTACGAGGATTGAGCGTCTCCACCTAGTAAGTGTGCAAGAGGCGGCAGGAAGTGGGTACGCAGGGGCGCAAGGTGCACAGCCCCTAGACCACTTGGTTTCGTTCCGGCCACCCTCTGAAGCCGCGTGCTACTTTGACAGCTGCGGGGCCGCGGCCGGGGTAAGGGCGAAGGGGTTGTTGAACGGTCGCTGGTGGCGCGGCAAGGTAAGGAGGTGAGTCAAGGGACTGCCCCATTGGCTGGGTCGGGTTTGGCGCGCTCTCACTTCCACGCTCCCTATTGGCTGGCTGGCGCAGTTCCCGGGTCGCGCGCCGCGGTTGGTAGGTCGGGCGCGCGGGGCCACACTGCCCGCCCCCTAGCCTGGCGCTGGGCCTCCGGGACCAGCTGACTGGGTCCGGGCTTGGGGACTGGAACGCTGGTGAGGGACTCAGCCTGGGCGTGCCTAGCTGTGAGGATGAGGCGAGGCATCCATCCTCTTGGCGGTTAAGTGGCTGGTCCTGATCTGAGGGATCTGCAAATTTGGCTCATGGGAAGAGGTCGCTGAATCCTGCGTCTCCCATTAAACGGATACTGGCGTTGCTGATACGAGGTTCGCATGGATCCCGGTCCTATGCCGGGGTTTTTAATCTAGCTATTAAAGAAACTAGAGAATAACAAGCAAGTAAGGGTGCAAGGTCGCTGATAGGCGTGGGAAACTTGTGAAGGATTAGACTGCTAAGTGGTTTTCAGCTTTTTTCATACTAAAGTACATTTTACATCGCAACCTAGGACACAGCCATCTAACCAACTGAGACGTTGATGGAAGCACTATTTCTCATCTTTTCAATTCCATTCTGTTCAGTTGCATTTTTCTAAGCAGTGTTGCTCATGATTAACTAAATGATTTTGAGATCACGACCCGCGACCCACAGTTTGAAGAACATTGCCTGGGGTCTGTTTACTGGGGCCCAAACCGCATTTTCTTAACATTAAATGCAGTAGAAAATAGCAGGGTGCCCGCACAAATTAGATTGTTTTGTTTTCTAAGCTTTTTTTTTTTTTTTTTTTTTTTGTGAGACGGAGTCTCACTCTGTTGCCCAGGCTGGAGTGCAGAATCTCGGCTCACTGCAGCCTCCACCTGTCGGCTTCAAGCGATACTTCTGCCTCAGCCTCCCGAGTAACTGGGACTACAGGCGAGCACCACCGTGTCCGGCTGATTTTTGCATTTTTGGTAGAGACGGAGTTTCACCACGTTGGCCAGGCTGGTTTCGAACTCCTGACCTCAGGTGATCCGTCTGCCTCTACCTCCCAGCACTTTGGTGATCACTCAGGCGATCCGCCTGCCTCGACCTCCCAAAGTGCTGGGATTACAGATATAAGCCACCGCGCCCGGCCTGTCCTCAGCTTTTTTGTTTGCACATGTGTGTGCGCGCGCGCCAGGACACAAGGTAAAATGTATTAATGTTAGAAAAGCCACTGCACTGAGTAAAGGCATGGCCACAAAAATTAGGGACATCTATCGAGTAGGCACAGGCGCAGACACGGTGGGGGGCAGTGGGTAGTGGGCAGTGGAGGAGCAGTTCAGATGCTGAGTTTGTTGTGAGTTTGGCCAGTGATCTAGTTAATCACATTACATATATCGCTTTCTACCTTTTCCCTCTTTCTTGCTTGTTAGTACTTCAGTTCATGTTACTGGTTAAACATTTCCTACAGATGTAAATGCATGATCTCATTTGACCTGATATTAAGTCAGTATTAAGTTATTGTCAGAGCCGAGTTTATTATACCTTAAATCTGTCTTTGAAGCAGGAAAGTTAAGATGTTTCTCTTTAGGATGGACCTGGGCATACCCTAGTGTCTGTATATTTTGCTATTTCTGGTGACTGTTTCTCAGATCTTTGAGAGCCCTGTATTTAATCCAGGACAATACGTTTAGAAATTTTAAACCAGTTTTAAAAATTGGTTTAAAATACATTAATTTCATTTTTTCAGACATAATTATTATGTGTGTATATATGTAAAATATAGATATCAAGAGTCATTAACTTTAGTCACCTTAGTCATTGACAGGGCTGAGTTTGGATTAAGAGAGAAAAAATAATAGTTCTACTGTACAATAGTATAATTTTTATGATTGTAGGTATTTTAAACCTAGACTCCACCTTCAGGGGTGCAAACCATATTGTTTTTTAATTACTAGTCTTCTGTGCTGTACCATCTACATAATGAATCCCAGTATGAAGCAGAAACAAGAAGAAATCAAAGAGAATGTAAAGGTATGTGATTGAATAACTTCAATTTCTTTTGTAGAAAGCATGGGGTTAAAATAAAAGTATTTTGACATGATTTAGCCAAATTTAGCCTGGCTGCAAGCCTTGAGTTAGTCAGAGGATGAGTAACAATAGAGAACGTTTTAAAAAAACTAATTACGGTAGAATATTAAGTGTGACCCAAGAATGTGGGTTGTCTCTTATTTTGGTCTTTCAACAGTAGTCTGTAGTTTTCAGAGCATGAATTTTACACAATTTGTGTTAAATTTTTTCCGAAGTATTCGTTTTGAGGTTATTGTGAATGGAACTGTTTCCTTAATTTCATTCTCATTTGGTCATTGCTACTGCATAGGAAAAGAGTTGACTTTTGTATCTTGATTTTGTGTCCTGAAACCTTACTGAACTTGTTTATTAGTTCTAATTGTTTTTTAGTAGATTCTTCAGGATTTTCTTTTCTTTTTGTATTTTCTCTGTGAAGATTCCAGAAGTATCTTTAGGATTTTCTATGTATAAGATTTACTCCTTTGTTTCTACTCTTATATTTCATGAAATGATGTTATTAAAATCCCTTGTGTATATCTTCAGAATTAAGGGTCTTTGACCACAGACATGTTTTGCATTATATTACACATTTTTCTAGAGTATACCGTATTCATTACCATCTAACCTATTTGATTTGCAATACTTTTTGAATTCCTATATGATAGTTTCACTGGAAATCTTATTCCAAGTATTTATTGTTACGACAACAGGACAGAGTTTGTTTAGTTTTGGGTTTATAATTTTGACTAGATTCATATTTATGGTTCTAAGTGAATTTACAATTTAGCTAGGTCCTTCCATACAAATTAGTATGAATACCTTGGGAATTGGACCACATCTTCAGGAAAATTATCAATTTATGGGTTTAAATTAAATAAAGAGCCAGGTGCCCATGGTGGCTCATGCCTGTGATCCCAGCTACTTGGGAGGCTGAAGTAGGAGGATTGATTGAGCTCAAGAGTTTGAGAACAGCTTGGGCAACAAAGGGAGACCTTGTTTCTAAAAAACCATAATTTTTACCAGTGGTGGCACCCACTGGTAATCCCAGCTACTGGGAGGCGGAGATGTGGGAGGAATTGCTTGAGCCTAGGAGTTTGGGCTTCGGTGAGTTGTGATTGCTTCGCTGCACTCCAGCCTGGGTGACAGAGTAAGACCCTGTACCTAAAAAAAAAAAGTTTTAATATTAAGTAAGCTAAATCGAGTACTTAAAAGCCATTGATAAGTATAAGCAAGTACTCCAGCCTGGGTGACAGAGTAAGACCCTGTACCTAAAAAAAAAGTTTTAATATTAAGTAAGCTAAATCGAGTACTTAAAAGCCATTGATAAGTATAAGCAAGTACCTTTTGAAGGGTTTTTTGTTTGCCTTGCTTTTCTTAGGATTCTTACGTTATTTTTCTTGAATAATAGTTCGCATTGACAATTTGTGAATTTGATTCCATTAGCTTCCATTTAGGATGATGGCATCTTCCCACAGTGCTTTGCGTGTGATTATTTAAAATTTTTGTTATGAAATTTTTGAAATATTTAAAAGTAGAGTCAGTATTTTAATTTACTTCCTCAACTTCAGCAATTACCACTATATGGCCAATTTGGTTTCATCTGTGTCCTTATTTACTCCACTTTTCCTTCAGTGGATTAGTTTGAGGCAAATCACAGCCAAATAATTTATATATTTCCAGCAGATTACATTTTTAAAAAAGTCTTGTGTTCTTGTGTTTACTAGCTACAGTAAAACTATCTTGAATATAAAAGTTACTGGGTTCTGTTTGGTTTTGGTTCTACCTCCAAAACTGAGACCTTGGGTGGGTTAGCATTTCAGCCTCAGTTTACTCATCTGTAAATTGAGGGAACTGGACTAGAACTAGATCATTGTGAGTTGTATGCAAAATTCTGTGTGAATGTGCTTTTATGTGAATTTTTTGGGGGAGAGGATTCACATAAATAGTTTTCCAAAAAGGTTAAGACCCATTAATATACAAGAAACTTTCTGGCTTTAAGAGTCTATTATTCCAATGCATACTCTATATACAGAAAATAATAATAATAATATTACATTGTTTTGGGCCTATACAGCTTATATAAATAAAAGTTAAATCTTGGAAATGGTCTTTTTTTTTTTTTGGTGACAGTAATTTAGCTTGCTTCTTTGACCATTATTAACAGCAAGCATTTAAATGAATTAACACCTCTTACTAGTAAGGTTCCAACGTTACATTTTCTTTTATTTATCTGCAGACTGTTGACTAATCTATAATCTAAATTATATCTGAAATGTTGGTATAATATTTGTTCTCACAGTAGCTGGCGTTTGTCCTTCAGTTAAATGGTGAGATAATAATCAGCAGTAGAAACTTTACCGTGGGAAAGGTGAACTCTTGTCATGTGAGGTACAGTGTGGAATCAGTAACTTTCTCACGCTGGTATGGTATCATGTTCTTGCTAACCTTGTTTGAGTATTCACCATTGTTTGCTATCCCATGGTGGCAGTATAACTAATGATATTTTGCAAAAATAAGAGAGAACTTTCAGGTCATGAAATATACAGGAAGTTATTTACATATTACAAGGAAGGCAATATTTTTACCAAAACAATAGCTTGGGCATTTTAGAGTAGTTTAGTATGCCTCAGGCACTGACATATTAGCCGCCTTCTAATGAATGGGCTTGAAGCAGAACTGCTTCTACTATCAGGTAATGGTTGAGGGGGGATGTCTATTACACATGTACTTTGTTTTGTGTAAAGTATGTTCTGGAAAATTACATTATTTCGGTGAGTACATATAAGTATTTGGGGGATATTCATGATTTAAGGAGGCCTGAGATGAATCTTTTTGATTAGGGAAAGAAATATTTTACAGTGTAAATGATTAACCTTTTCTCCCAGTTGACCTGTTTGGTGCGTTCATACCATAAATGTTACGATGTTTGGTTTTATGAAAGAGTACCTGTAAGATTTTAGTTTTTGTGTGGAAGATTTTTCAGAGACAATACAGATATCCTTCTTGTATTAGAATTTTGTCATACATGGTTTGAACTGTTCATTGGAGCTGAGGAATTTTGTTATGTTTGTTTTAACTAGATCTGATTAACAAAATGACCATAGCAAGAGCATACATTGAAATGAGAGAAGTTACGTGTGTTTGTGTCTAGTTTGGGTAATATGATTCATTCTTAAGAATTCTTCAAACTTTATTGTAATTTTTGGAAATAAGTTTGTCAGTTGATTAAACCAGTGTCTTGTTCATAGGTAACCTTACAAAATTATATAGCTGACCAAATGTTTGTATTCTTAGTGTTTCTTCCCCCCCCCAAATTATAGAAGGACTAAGAGTAACACTCCATACAGAAACTCAGTAACTAAATAACCATATTGCAACTCAGTAACAAGATAATGAATTATCTTGACTTTTTAGAATAGTTCTATCCAAAGAAGAACTCTGAAGATGATTCAGCCTTCTGCATCTGGATCTCTTGTTGGAAGAGAAACTGAGGTATGCACTATATGGCTAAAATGGGGTACTGGTGATACAATGTCTACATTAAAAACATTTCTACTATTTTCTTGGTCAGAAACACATAAATTGTTGAAATTTGAAAATAATTTGGGAATAACAATTACATATTTCCCAAAGAAGTGATTCTGGTTTTAATTGTTCAATTTAAGAAGTTCGCCGGGTATGGTGGTTCACGCCTGTAATCCCAGCACTTTGGGAGGCCGAGGTGGGTGGGTTGCCTGAGGTCAGGAGCTTGAGACAAGCCTGGCCAACAAGATGAAACCCCATCTCTACTAAAAGTACAAAAACATTAGCCAGGTGTGGTGGCACACACCTGTAATCTCAGCTGCTCGGAAGGCTTGAGGCAGGAGAATCACTTGAACCCGGGAGGTGGAGGTTGCAGTGAGCCGAGATCACACCACTGCACTCCAGCTTGGGTGACAGGGTGAGACTCCGTCTAAAAAAAAAAAATTAAAATTAAAATTAAAAAAAAATAAATAATTTCAGCTAAGCTCTAGACCCCAGTCTAATCCAAAATAATTGTTGCAAATAAAATTCCTAAAATGTTACTGTACATTTTGGTAGAATTTTTAATTGTATAACTTTTTTAAAGATCCAGAGATGTAAAAAAGATACGCGTTCTCTTTTTTTAATACATAAATGAAAAACCACCTAATTTCTTGTTAATTAAATCAAAGTAAATACAGTTGATAAATGTTTTCATTATAGCTGTCCACAGGCTTGTCCAAAAGGAAACATCGGAATGACCAGTTAACATCTACAACTTCCAGCCCTGGGGTTATTGTCCCAGAATCTAGTGAAAATAAAAATCTTGGAGGAGTCACCCAGGAGTCATTTGATCTTATGATTAAAGGTACGAAAAAATAGATAACTTTTGTCTTAAAATTTTAAATTATGATATAAGGAAGAATTTGTTAATACTATTATGAATTCTGCCAATTACCATAATCTGGGGTTAGTATAACAGCACTATAAATGTTTTTGTGTGACCATTTGTTTGACAAGATCCATGTGTGGATGAAATGTTAGGAAAAGGAGGCCCAGTGCAGTGGCTCACGCCTGTAATCCCAGCAATTTAGGAGGCTGAGGCAGGAGGATGGCTTGAGTCTAGAAGTTTGAGACTAGCCTGGACAATACAGTGAGGCTCTATCTCTATGAAAAAATTAGTGGAGCATGGTGGCTTGTGCCTGTATTCCCAGCTACTCAGGAGGCTCAGTCAGGAGGATCACTTGAGCCTAAGAGTTTGTGGCCTCAATGAGCTGTGATAGCACCACTGCACTCCAGCCTGGGAGACAGGGCAAGACCCAGTCTCTGAAGGAAAAGAAAAGGGTGGGGGGAAAGGATAGTTATTAATATGACAGCTCTGATATTGGATTGCCTTGTAAGAGTTTACAAGACTTGGAAATAGGTTTTTTAGAAGAAAAATGTTTAGATAATAAGTTGAAGTATGAAAGGAATTTGAATATTCCCGGAGAGTATGGCGTAAGGAAACCGATAAAAATATGGATGAAGAGAGTGAAGATGAATGAGAAGAATTATGCCTGTAATAAATACTAGTTTTTAATGGAATGGCAGTATACATCAGAAGAAGCAACTGATGTTTTACAAGCATTATGGAAGATTATTATTTCTGTGTGAATTATAGGTCATTGGATGTTAATTACTGATAATAAAATTGAGGCCTAGAGAAGTTAATTGACTTGCTCAAGGTCACAGTAACATTTGGGCTCATTTTGAATTGCCTTGAAGACAGGAAGAAGAGAAGTAGACAGTACGATTTTTATTAGGAAAAATTAGGAAAGGTTGACTGGATAGAAATAAAGAAGCTCTTTAAAAATATTGTAGATTAAAGAGCAGGATTTGTGACACTCGTATCTGATTAAGTTAAAAATTACATCAAGGATTAGTTAAAATAAACTAAAGTTAAATATCAAGACAAATAACTATATATCATACTGCTAGTATAACCACAGGTGGAAAACATTATCCATGTAACCCTTTGGCATATATGGTAAAAATTAAAATAATTGCAAAGAAATTCCAAACTTTATTACATTTGTTGTTTGAACTTTGTTATATTCATTGGCAGTGGTATTATTGTAATTTTGGGGAAAAAAAAATTGTGTATATTTTAGGATTGAGCAAATGAGTAATATGTTGAAGTATTACATTTCCTAGCACTGCCCCTAAATAGGTAGAAACACACTACACCTCTGTAGCAAGGAGCACACCCTGTATCCAGTTCTTGGTTTGTAAACGCTATTCTTCACTAGAGTTCCTTGGAGAAATTGCTGATTCCAGGTCAGGGGCAGGGAAACTTTAGGTGATCATGGATTATCTTGTGACAGAAAATAAGAAAGTACTCAAAAACGGGTGGACATGTTGAAAGAACACACGTAATCTTGGAAGGATTCTCACAGACTAAAGTTGGGAAAATTTGAGCATCAAAATGAATAACGACAAGAATGGATTATAATGCATTGAATACAAAAGGATGTATGAGCCCATACTGATAAATTTTCTTTTAAATTGGGGTAGGAAAAGTTTTTATTTACAGAATAATGCTAACTACTACATGTAGAAGGAATTACATAAGTGAAAAAAATCGATTTTCCATCCACTGTATAAGTAATAGATAAAAGCCGGAAACATCAATCATCAATGGAATTAAATTTAGGTAAAAAGTTGTTGGAGAACAGGGTATTGACACAGTCTCAAATATTTTACTCTACAGATCATTAGTTAATTACTAAGGGAAAAAGTTATCCTTACAAGGCAGAAATCTGATAGATAGCATCTTAATCAAATGATCAAATTTAACATCTTCAATATGACAAATTGGCATGTGCTTCTTGATGATACACTGAGGATACATACTTACATAGTATTCTTATACTATACTTATATAGTATTCCTGCCAAAAATGTTTAGTTTGAATCTAATCATGGAGATAGAAATAAAAAATTCAGGACAGTGTACAAAATAACTGATTGGACTTTGTAAAAATGTCATTGTTACATAAAAATACATGACCTCACAAAACAAATGTGTTGCAAAAATCTTTACTAATCTAGGTGGAAGAGATACACCTATTGTACTTTTGTTGTAATTCCTCTGAAGGATTGAAATCTTTGAAATGTTGGGGAAAATAGAAGAATACTGATTTTATTTTCTAACTTTAATCTTTTAAAAATGAGTATTACTAAACAAATGGGAGGGTACTAAGATTGGAAATTTTTTTGAAACAAATTACTGGGTTTTGACAGTAATGATTTTTAAAGTTATATGTAAAATATTATTTTAGAAAATCCATCCTCTCAATATTGGAAAGAAGTGGCAGAAAAACGGAGGAAGGCGCTGTATGAAGCACTTAAGGAAAATGAGAAAGTATGTATTGAGTATCATTTGTATCATTTTTAAAAATTCCAGGATTGTTTTACTCTTGCTGCTTAGCATATTTTGTTAGAGCAATATGAGCTGGCTTTAATATTGGCTTAAGAAAAGTTTAAGTAAAAAGGCAGCTCTTGACAGAATTACACAAAATGAATCCTGTTGTGTTGAGAGTTAATTCTGTGCTGCATGTCTTCCATGTTATATACTTGGAGGCATGTAATTTGATTTATAGCACAGCAAATCTATAGAATACTGAACTTTATTTATGTAATATAGCTTCATAAAGAAATCGAACAAAAGGACAACGAAATTGCCCGCCTGAAAAAGGAGAACAAAGAATTGGCAGAAGTAGCAGAACATGTACAGTATATGGCAGAGCTAATAGAGGTAGGTAATTTAATAGTTACCTGGTTCAAATTTATGTATTTGTCTATAAAGTTCAGGTAGTATATAGTGTGATCCCTTTGAAGTGTGTGAGCTCTGGAATCAGATTTCCTGGATTTGAGACTTAACTTCCTTCCTAACACCATTAAGTTTGCTGGGTAGAGTGGGTTTATCCGGTCAGGGCTTCATCTTCCTCATCCATAAAATGAGAGTAATGATGATGCCTACCTTATAGACTTGTTATGAGAATTAAATGAGTTATAATAGATGGACAGTTGCAAGGAGTACTTGCAGAGAGTAAAAGTTCAGTAACTTAATTATTATTACGAAGCAAAAGACCATCTTTTTTTGGAAGAGTTATTAAAAGGAATTATCCCTGGAAAATAGGTATAGAAAATTATTTCATAGTTGACACATTTTTAGATAGTTTCAATTTTAATACCAGCTTGACATTACTGTCATTTATAAAATTGCTAATTTGTACACTAAATAAGTTTTGTGGTTTTATCTGACTTTAAAACATTTTGTAAGTAGCTAATGTGTTTGTTAAGAATTAGCCTGTTAAGTGTTGCTTTTTCAGACTTGACCTTAAAAAGGTTTTAAGATTTATTTATTCATGTTTGCAAAAAGTTTGTCTTGCTGATAGGAAGAAAGTTTTTCAAATCAAAACTTTTCATGTAACTGAATTGTGACCTTACATTTGAGACCCATGATAGAATTAATGTTTGAAGTTTTCATTTGGAAATACTGTGGTAACTCTCTTAACTGCCTTAAAAGTATTAATCCACAGCTGATTGGAAATGTAGAACACCTAGTTGTCCCTGCAGCTGATTGGGAAAGTACCTGTTTATAGTCTGCAATCATTTCAGTGCTTTTTTAAAAAAAGGCAAATTATTAAACACTTTGCTGACTATAATCTAGTGTGGTAGAGACTTTGATATCACACTGTTTATAAATGAATTTATTGAGGGGCAAGATGAAAAAAATCTCATAGCTATATTGGTATGCTATACGGGTCAGCTATATCAATATGCTGATCAACTTAGGTTTTAACATTTTTACAATAAATTATTGGTTTATTCTTTAAGAGACTGAATGGTGAACCTCTGGATAAATTTGAATCACTGGATAATCAGGAATTTGATTCTGAAGAAGATACTGTTGAGGATTCTGTAGGGGAAGACTCAGAAATTGGCACATGTGCTGAAGGAATTGTATCTGTTATCCTCCTCTACGGATGCAAAGCCTGTCTATGAATGCATTAATAATTTGACTGTTGAGAATTTTACTGCCGAAGTTTACCTCCACTAGTTCTTTGTAGCAGAGTACGTACTACATAATGCCAATTCTGGAATCAAGCTTCCTTGTTTGAATCCTGGACCCTATTGTATTAAGTACAATACTATGTATTTTAAACTATGATGGTTTATATAAATAGGATTTCCTCAGTTGTCAGCCATGACTTATATATTAACTAAATAAACTCTCACACTCTGTTGAACATTTGTATACCTTAGAATAATGAAAGTATAAGGAGTATGTGTAGAAAATTTGTCTGTTTTTCTATGCTTTTATGTGTCTCTTTCCATCTCTTTGCTAACTACCTTGGAGAAAACAGGAAAAACGAACTAAAGTATTTAGACTGAGATAGCTGAGGTTTTAACTCCCAAACTTGTTGCACCCTCAAGCGCACTGTAGGGCCACTATTGATATTAAACAGGTTAGTATTTATGGAATGAGCCCATGAGAATCCTAATTTCCAAAACGCTTTTCAAGTGAATGTGATTTACCCAGTGGGAGAGGCCCAGCTGGCTAGCAGGATCAGCTATCTTGGAAGCTTAAATGATTGGATGACTGATAATAATCTCTAGAGAACAACCAAAGTAGGCAGTGTGGCTGATAAGTCGACCAAAAAAAACCAGGGAATAGCTGAAAAATTATGGAGTTTTCTATTCACATATTGGTGTACGTGGCAAAGTATGTAAATATTGAAGAATAAGAGTAGGGTCAGATTCATCAGGGATTTCCATATATACTCCAAGTTTAAAGGAGGTAAAAGTACAAACTAGGGGTATGGCAGCGCACTTGAAATTTAAAGTTCTGTCGAGAGGCTACAAAATAGTTGTGATAAAATTGGGGCATAAGAGCAATGTCCATGCTTTAGCATTCTTTTCCCCCCCCTTTGAGACGGAAGTCTTGCGCTCTTGTTTGCCCAGGCTGGAGTGCAATGGCACCATCTCGCTCCCTGCAACCTCTGCCCTCCCTGGTTCAGGTGATTCTGCCCTCAGCCCTCCGGAGTAGCTTTGATTACAAGTTCCTGCCACCACACCTGGCTAATTTGGTATTTGAGTAGAGATGAGGTTTCACCATGTTGGGCCAGGCTAGGTCTCGAACTCCTGACCTCAAGTGATCCGCCTTTGGCCACCCAAAGTGTTGGGATGACAAGTGTGAGACCACCCGCTGGCCTCAAGTCCTTTTGAAAGGATTGTTGAGGTAGTATCCTTACAGACCTTATTTTCTCTCTCTTTTTTTTTTTGAGACAGGGCCTCACTCTGTCACCCAGGCGGGAGGTACAGGGGTGCAATCTCAGCTCACTTCAGCCTCCACCTGCTGGCCGCAAGTGATTTCCTACTTCAGCCTCCCAAGTAGCTGAGACTACGTGGTGCCACCACACCTGGCTAATTTCTTGTATAGACGGCCGTTTCGCCACGTTGCCCAGGCTAGTCTTGAATTCCTGGCATCAAGCGATCCCGCCTGCTTCCATCCTTCAAAGTGGTTGGGATTATAGGCGTGAGCCACTGTACCTGGCCTTAATTTTCTTTTTTTTTTTTTTTTTTGAGACGGAGGTCGCTCTGTCGCCCGGCTGGGAGTGCAGTGGCGCGATCTCGGCTCACTGCAAGCTCCGCCTCCAGGTTCACGCATTCTCCTGCCTCAGCCTCCCGATCCAGTGCTGGGACTACAGGGCGCCACCAACCGCGTCCCGGCTAACCTTCTTTGCTATTTTTTTCAGTAGAGACGGGGTTTCACCGGGCTCGATTCCTACATTGTGACC